GAGAGATCTGCACGGGGCAGAGATGCGACACCGTGGAAGCGGGTCTAAAGTGAGGCTCTGGGAGGAGGGCTGGCAGACGGACCTGGCCCCGTGGTTCAAGACCCGAACGGCCGTGAGAGTTGAATGAAATCGTGGAGCCCCTCGGGTGTGGTTGCTGTGCAAAGCATCGTGCCACGCTTGGAATCCTTGGGTCAAGAACAGAATCCCAGCAGCCAATGTCTTTGTACAAGGTGATGATTTGAGCAGCCAAAATTATGGAGCGGGGGGAAGCTGGTGCCAAAAAGGGGATCAAACTCTAGCACTTCCTGGCATAAGAAATAGTGATGGCAATTTTAAGAGGAGATTCAGCGAATGAGTGGGGAATAAGAGCACTGGTGACCCCGTCTTGAATCTCTCTAAGCTTAGAGGTAGCGTTTGGCTATGGATAATTGGGAACGCAATTCACTCCCGTTTTTCTTGGATATTGCTGAATGATGCTCTTTTTCATTTTGTTAGCTGCCTAAAGTATCACCTGGAGTAGAAAGCAGAGATTTAAAGAGAGCAAGTAGATGTATTTTAAAAACGTTCTACTTGGAGACTTCTTTTCAAAAGCACTCTATGGATCTCTGTAAAAACCCAGGGTGGGGCTGGAAAGACCTCCTGTATAGGCTAAACCTCCTGAGCTCATCTTAATCTTCTTACAAAGGCTCATGAAAAACTTGGCAACTTTTCCTGCTTGAAGAATTCAGTTAGTCGCAGTCTAAATCTTGTTGCTGAAATTCGAAGCAGTTGTGAGTCTGGAATTTTCTTGTGCTTGGAGACGTTATTAAATGCCCCATAAGAGCCAGCAGGGGACAGGGGTTAAGCTGTTGGACGAGGAGTGAGAGACCCAGGTTCAAATCCACCCTTAGCTTTAGATCCTCCCTGGGTGACGGGGCCATTTTTTCTCAGCCCACTGTTCTTCACAGGGTGTTATTTTGGGGATAAACTAATCCCATGAAAATTGCTGTGAGGAAAAGCAGAATATAAATCTAACAAAGAAAGAAAGAAAGAAAGAAAGAAAGAAAGAAAGAAAGAAAGAAAGAAAGAAAGAAAGAAAGAAAGAAAGAAA